ACAGGCAGCAGCCGAAGTTTCAGCCGGGCCTGGTTGGAGACCAATAGGCGAGATCGGCCTAAGAGTGGACGCACTATGCTGGCTAGCGCACTGAATTAGCAAGCCACTTTGGCCAGCGGAAGTAGGGCAGATAATGCCGCTGCCACTGTGGCCGACTTCAGAATTGGCATCAAGACAGGTGCTTCTGCCACTTGCTTGGCTAAGAATGGGGCCAGGAGGCGTTTCGCTGCCGCTAGAAAAAAGCACAGCCGATCCCGAAGACTGACAAGAGGAGACTTTGGGCCGGTATGGGATTGCTGCTCCCTTAAATGGCGTCTAAAATGGGTAAAAGACAATAAGACAAAACATACTTTTTTTGCAGAGCTTAATCTTTAAAAATACTGGCTCATTAGGTTTGCTTAAATAGACACTGTAACTAATTGGCATATAATATCCACAAGGATAATTGATTTATTAGCTCATATATGTGCTTTAACGTATTATGAATATATTGAATAATTATTAAATATACTGTTTCCAAGGGTTATAGGTTAAGCATTCGGTAGGAATTATGCATTTTATAGGCAGATTTACATATATGCCGGGATATTAAATGGCATAGGGTTTTTTTCGCAGAAACCGAGCAAATGACGATTTACGTGGAGGATAAATATTTGCTTGAACTTGCAGCATTTTAAAAGTTAGGCAATTGTAAAAATCGGGCCTTTAGTTTTATTTATCTTATGCTGTTAAACATTAAGAAACAATTAATAATTAGCCTTATTCTCCTTTTATATTTGATTATGCATTAAAGTAATCAATCTCAGAGTAGTATGATGCAACTATTTAAGCGACTTCAGCCATATTATTTTGACTGCCAGCCTCTTCCATAATGGCACTCATTTGAAATATTATGTAACGTTCTAATACAAGCTCTTTGCTATATGATCCATAGTGAGAATATTCCTGTCTTTACTCTCAGTGAGAGGGCTCTCAGCGTAACATTTTTGAAAAGAAGGTTGAATTGAAATAAGAGCTACTAAAAGATTTTGTATGAAACTTCTCAGTCTAGATGCTGCAAATAGAGTTGATGACACTACCTTGCTGATCTGGATCAGGAATATGGATAACACTATATAGTAAATCATAGGGCAGAAAATTACTAGCAAAACTACTAGGAAAATAAACTACTAATGACAAGATATATTTTAGTTAATACCTTTATGCGCGATCGTGTCTTGGATGAACTATGGTGAATGGTTTAGTTCAGATGGAAAACTGGGACAAAGATTGTTACTGCATAATCCGTTAAAATGATATTCAGGGCGATAGATATAA